GAAAAGTTCTCATATCCACAAGAACGTGAAACCAATGTTTCAGCCTTCCTGTTTAGAGATTTGTCTTGGTATCAAGCCAGTGTTCTTGCAAGTTTCTCAAGCGTTTAGTAACGTGATAATGCTCAACATATTTTAATACTAACATGGCATTTCCATGTTTAGCATGTGCATATAAGTGTTCTGTCAGCTTTTTTGCTCATATTTGCTCCTTAATAAACTGGGAGTCATTTCTAAGTGGCAGTTAGTCATTATGTTGCAATGTGTTTTTTTTTTTTTTTTTTTTTTTTAATGCCTCCCAAAGTTACATTAACGGAAACCCAGTGTGTAATCTGATGTTAAGTCTGTGTTGTATGGTTCACAACCTAATTTGTATTTATAGAGTGCAGTGACTATTTGCACCTTAGGGAATAAAAGCAAAATGTGCATAATTCTGTTACAGTATGTTGTGTAGCAATATTTTTTCAAGGCTAACATTGGCCCATATAAATTGGATTATGGATGCAATGATTTCTTCCCATTTCATTGCTTCCATACTTTGTGAAGAAATGGGGGAATATAGACAGTGGGAAGATGGGCAATTCCTATCTGCTCAATGTCCCTTGTGGCCATCAGGAGGTTTACTGGTAATTTCTAAGATTGATGTTGGATGATGTGGCTGGAATTGGTCGACAAAGCATTTGTGATCATTTGCCTTCAGTAACTTTCAACTTTAGTTTCTCTTCACTGCACTGGGAAGACGTCAGGCAGGCAGGGCTATATGGGTATGTTGATATTTATTACAGGTTATTTCATTACACGCAAGTCGATACTAGGACAGTTGTGTCTGAAGGTTAATGAGTTCAGCCTATTAGAAATGTGACTGTCCATTAATATGTAGGTATCATGACTGTGTGGGTGTGTTAACATGTATGGCGATCACTTTCTCTGGTGGCAGATGTACACATATTAGAGCTCTTGGGAAGACATGATGAAATGGGATAGAAGTAGACATCGGATTACCACATCCACTGCTAAATGTTGTTCATAATCAGATACAAGTTTCCTAAAGACTGCTTAACAATTGCTATTTTAATCAAAGCAGTCTTGCCATAGCAATTCCATTTTGTCGAGCAAGGACTTTTACAAAAAGGGACCATTTGCTTAATTTTTAGACCTTTCAAAACAAGGTCTCTGATGCCTTCTTGGTGCAGGGAAGAGAATCTAAGTTACTGCTGGCAAGGTCTCTTAACTAAATGCTTTGCAGGCTAATGTTAAGTGGATTCTTTGAAACAACAGTACTGACAAGGGCCAGGTGTGGTCATGAAAAAAATATGGTGTCAGCATGGTATGCTTCATTTCAAGGAATATCTCTTTTTCATTTCTTTTTGTAGTTTCTTACCTGCAACCTTTCAGTATGAGCTAGTATCTGGACTTGGGGTTATGGGAAAAAACTTGCCATTATCTTCCAATATTTTTGTTTTTTATCATAGCAGATTCCAAGTTGAAAATGTTCTTTCTGGAATATCAGCATGTATTGCTTACCTCATAAAGACAGCAACAATAAGTGTAGTGTAATTCAGAACCTGTGGCAGGCAGTACCTATACACAAACAGTGGAGTCAAAGGCGATTATTCATTTTATATATTCCACTGATTCTTATTCTATAGGGCCCCGAGATGATGATTCATCTAGTCCTTGTGATTCCTGAACCTACTTATCATATATTCATTCCCCATTTCCCTCTCTATTACTGCTCTTTGTAGCAGCATACACCTTTTGTGTCAGTCCACCAAGTCATATTGAACCACCATAAATGCCGATTTCTACCAGCTAAACAAATCTTATTGATGATATTAATGGTAGTGTGGTTACATGTACAAATGTAGGATTGCACTCATTATGAGACAATGTTTTTTTGATACAAATGCATGCAGCCTTGATTATCAAGTACATTTTATTCTCTTGTTCATCAAGGTTATTTGGTGTCTTTTCCGGTATTTAGTTCAGTCAGTGGGATAACAGGTCAATTCCTTGCTGACAGGAGAGAGAGAGAGAATCATAAAAACGTGTCACATAATTTTGCTGCCTTATTCAAGAATACAGTGTTGTCACGTGCACACTGCTACTTGCACAAATATAACAAAACAAAGAATGTGAAAGAAGATGGTAAAAATGATCATTTTGAGTTAGAGAGTTGCTTCAGATAACTCGCAGGCTGGTTGAGTTGACTTCTGACCTTACTGTGCTGTGTGGGAGCTATTAAAACGACCTCAGTTTGTCCACTTGCCGCAAAGGAGGGACAATTTGTGGTCATTATATTATGAACACATTAACCGACCATTGAGCTTGTAGTCAGATGAGAGCCTAGCAAATTAATGCTAGTCTTAGGATAAAAGCTGATATAAAACTGATAAAGAGCCTTTACATGTCATGTTCACTGTTTCATTTCTGTCAATAAGGGGATAAATATTATCTAGCTCATATAATACCTATTTCATGTATTTAATGATTGATATAATGGTTTCCATTGATTTTTGTACATGAAAGATTATTTTTCATGAATCTTTTTCTTTTTTTTACTTTCAGATCTCTACGGTGGCGCCTGTGCTATAGTAGCCACAATGGGGAAGCTAATATCTAAGATATTTGGGAACAAGGAGATGAGAATTCTCATGTTAGGACTAGACGCAGCAGGGAAAACCAGTATCCTTAAAACCTGACAATCTGTCCTCAGACAGGCTCTGTATTTTGGTTGCATTGTCTGTTCTAGTGGCAAAAAGAATCTCTTTCCCACTGAGAAACAACCTCATATTATAAGACCTGGAAGTGGGATAGTTGAACAAACAAAATGGTGTGGGCTTCAGGACACTCAATGTCAGTTTTCAGTTGCCTATTCACATAACATAGGCTACTATGTGTATTACATTTCCTGTAACATTTTATATCATTTTGAGATTAGTAGAATAACTTGTTTTATATACCATATTTGTCATATGCCTGCATACATTATGTTTCATTAGTGCTTTTTGACTCTGACGTGGGATGTGTGCTATGTTTTGAATATTTGTGTAGCAGTTGTTGGTCTGACTAGGACATTATATTAATAATTGTACCACCAGCGTTAGCGCTGGNCATCCCAAAGTTACATTAACGGAAACCCAGTGTGTAATCTGATGTTAAGTCTGTTGTATGGTTCACAACCTAATTTGTATTTATAGAGTGCAGTGACTATTTGCACCTTAGGGAATAAAAGCAAAATGTGCATAATTCTGTTACAGTATGTTGTGCAGCAATATTTTTTCAAGGCTAACATCGGCCCATGTAAAAATTGGATTATGGATGCAATGATTTCTTCCCATTTCATTGCTTCCATACTTTGTGAAGAAATGGGGGAATATAGACAGTGGGAAGATGGGCAATTCCTATCTGCTCAATGTCCCTTGTGGCCATCAGGAGGTTTACTGGTAATTTCTAAGATTGATGTTGGATGATGTGGCTGGAATTGGTCGACAAAGCATTTGTGATCATTTGCCTTCAGTAACTTTCAACTTTAGATTCTCTTCACTGCACTGGGAAGACGTCAGGCAGGCAGGGCTATATGGGTATGTTGATATTTATTACAGGTTATTTCATTACATGCAAGTAAATACTAGGACAGTTGTGTCTGAAGGTTAATGAGTTCAGCCTATTGGAAATGTGACTGTCCATTAATATGTAGGTATCATGACTGTGTGGGTGTGTTAACATGCATGGCGATCACTTTCTCTGGTGGCAGATGTACACACATTAGAGCTCTTGGGAAGACATGATGAAATGGGATAGAAGTAGACATTGGATCACCACATCCACTGCTAAATGTTGTTCATAATCAGATACAAGTTTCCTAAAGACTGCTTAACAATTGCTATTTTAATCAAAGCAGTCTTGCCATAGCAATTCCATTTTGTCGAGCAAGGACTTTTACAAAAAGGGACCATTTGCTTAATTTTTAGACCTTTCGAAACAAGGTCTCTGATGCCTTCTTGGTGCAGGGAAGAGAATCTAAGTTACTGCTGGCAAGGTCTCTTAACTGAATGCTTTGTAGGCTAATGTTTAGTGGATTCTTTGAAACAACAGTACTGACAAGGGCCAGGTGTGGTCATGAAAAAAATATGGTGTCAGCATGGTATGCTTCATTTCAAGGAATATCTCTTTTTCATTTCTTTTTGTAGTTTCTTACCTGCAACCTTTCTGTATGAGCTAGTATCTGGACTTGTGGTTATGGGAAAAAAACTTGCCATTATCTTCCAATATTTTTGTTTTTTATCATAGCAGATTCCAAGTTGAAAATGTTCTTTCTGGAATATCAGCATGTATTGCTTACCTCATAAAGACAGCAACAATAAGTGTAGTGTAATTCAGAACCTGTGGCAGGCAGTACCTTTACACAAACAGTGGAGTCAAAGGCGATTATTCATTTTATATATTCCACTGATTCTTATTCTATAGGGCCCCGAGATGATGATTCATCTAGTCCTTGTGATTCCTGAACCTACTTATCATATATTCATTCCCCATTTCCCTCTCTATTACTGCTCTTTGTAGCAGCATACGCCTTTTGTGTCAGTCCACCAAGTCATATTGAACCACCATAAATGCTGATTTCTACCAGCTAAACAAGTCTTTTTGATGATATTAATGGTAGTGTGGTTACATGTACAAATGTAGGATTGCACTCATTATGAGACAATGTTTTTTGATACAAATGCATGCAGCCTTGATTAAAAGTGTCAGAAAGTGACTCCACATCTAGGTATAATTCAATTTTGATACCAATCTCTGATTTCGTGTAAAAATTAGTGATTTTTGTATGTCTTGATTATCAACTTCAAGTACATTTTATTCTCTTGTTCATCAAGGTTATTTGGTGTCTTTTCCGGTATTTAGTTCAGTCAGTGAGATAACAGGTCAATTCCTTGCTGACAGGAGAGAGAGAGAGAGAGAATCATAAAAATGTGTCACATAATTTTGCTGCCTTATTCAAGAATACAGTGTTGTCACATGAACACTGTTACTTGCACAAATATAAGAAAACAAAGAATGTGAAAGAAGATGGTAAAAATGATCATTTTGATAGCAAGTCATGTAAAGAATAATCTGAGGTGTTGTTATGGTAGAGTTGCTTCAGATAACTCGCAGGCTGGTTGAGTTGACTTCTGACCTTACTGTGCTGTGTGGGAGCTATTAAAACGACCTCAGTTTGTCCACTTGCCGCAAATGAGGGACAATTTGTGGTCATTATATTATGAACACATTAACCGACCATTGAGCTTGTAGTCAGATGAGAGCCTAGCAAATGAATGCTATTCTAAGGATAAATGCTGATATAAAACTGATGAAGAGCCTTTACATGTCATGTTCACTGTTTCATTTCTGTCAATAAGGGGATAAATATTATCTAGCTCATATTATACCTATTTCATGTATTTAATGATTGATATAATGGTTTCCATTGATTTTTGCACATGAAAGATTATTTTTCATGAATCTTTTTCTTTTTTTTTTACTTTCAGATCTCTACGGTGGCGCCTGTGCTATAGTAGCCACAATGGGGAAGCTAATATCTAAGATATTTGGGAACAAGGAGATGAGAATTCTCATGTTAGGACTAGACGCAGCAGGGAAAACCAGTATCCTTTAAACCTGACAATCTGTCCTCAGACAGGCTCTGTATTTTGGTTGCATTGTCTGTTCTAGTGGCAAAAAGAATCTCTTTCCCACTGAGAAACAACCTCATATTATAAGACCTGGAAGTGGGATAGTTGAACAAACAAAATGGTGTGGGCTTCAGGACACTCAGTGTCAGTTGCCTATTCACATAACATAGGCTACCATGTGTATTACATTTCCTGTAACATTTTATATCATTTTGAGATTAGTAGAATAACTTGTTTTATATACCATATTTGTCATATGCCTGCATACATTATGTTTCATTAGTGTTTTGACTCTGACGTGGGATGCGTGGTATGTTTTGAATATTTGTGTAGCAGTTGTTGGTCTGATTAGGACATAAAATTAATAATTTTGATTGTTTTACCTTAACCACATTTTCAGCTGTATTGTACAAACTCAAATTAGGTCAATCTGTCACAACCATTCCAACAGTAGGATTTAATGTAGAAACTGTTACTTATAAAAATGTCAAATTTAATGTATGGGTAAGTACATCAAAATTTCCTTACCGTTTTGATATGAGTGATAAGGGCCTATTGCTCATGCCTTAGTAATGTGAGATATTTAATGTGATTGCAATGTAGAGTCTGAGCAAAATGCTGGTGATAAAATCCTGAAGTGACACCCAAAGCTCAACAGTCTGAGCATTTGGATTTGGAAGAGATGTGTAAATATTTCTTATAATGCAGTGAATATTGAAAATAGAATATTGGAAATGACTGCATATGTCCGTGAAAAGACTTGGCAGTTTAGATTTGCTGTCTGTAAGCAGTATATAAATTTTCTATTTGTGTTGTCTTTCTAGTTTGGAAGAACTTTTACCCACTTTCTTTTCTTTTAAGTAAAATACTTGCTGCTATGCATGATGAATTTGCAGGAATCGTTCTGCATTGTTAAATGATTTGCTTTTGTAAAACAGTACTTTAAGGATCAGTATTAGTTGTAGTTTATACTAGAAAATAATATCAGATTATTGCAATGTAGCAAGATCTGCCCTATACTAATTTCTCTCCAGATTATTCTATTTATAATCATCATAACATTAGATTGAAAACCAGTATAAGGTGCTGTTGTTATATTTCATTGTGGATTGATGAAAATGATGAAAATTTGTTGTCTTTCTGTTCAATGCGGTTTCCATTTCCCATTACTTTTAGGATGTAGGGGGCCAAGATAAAATCCGTCCCCTATGGAGACACTACTATACAGGCACCCAGGGGCTGATATTTGTTGTGGACTGTGCAGATAGAGATAGGATAGATGAAGCCCGCCAGGAACTCCACAGAATTATCAATGATAGAGAAATGAGGGATGCAATCATCTTAATTTTTGCCAATAAACAAGATCTACCAGACGGTATGAGTGATTATTTTCATAAAATTTGTTAATTATTTTCAAGATTTATGCGTTAGCATTGGGGAGAGAAAAGCTGCACTTGTCTGCAAACAATGAAATCCTTGTGAATCATTTACCAGATGCAAAGCATATATGTAAATCAATAGCCATCCTTCTAAGTTTTGCCCAGGTCAACATTCTGATATGGAGAATGGGCTATTGATGAAAAGAGAACTGGTAACTACTTTAGGATGCATGTCAAGTTGTGAATGGGAATATGAGGAATTTTTTAATGTACTTTGAATTCATTTGGCTGGTAATCTACAGGAAGCCATATGCAGTGCTTAATTTAGCAGGGCGTTTTCATACTGTGGACTCTTGTGCTGACAACTTATTACAAAACAGAACATGCATTTGAACGTTAAAATAGGAATATTTTTTATTTATTTTAATCTGTTTTTATCACATTCTAAAATATTATAAATATCTTGCCATGTGGGAGGTCTTTGGCATTTTAAACAGGTAGTGCATGTAAAGATTAAATAATTGAAACTTAACTCATAAAAAGTTATTTTAGCTAACAAGACTTTCATTTTCAAGTTTTATGTAGTTAATACATTTATGCTATTAAATTGTAGATCACAGGAATGGGAAACTGAAAAAAAATCAACATATATAATTTATTAGAAACTTTTTCAAGAACTTTTGATAATTTTCAAGTTAGAGAAACTGGCCTCCAGCTTCCCCACTCATGCTTGCAATCTTGATTTGTGGCTTTAGGAATAAAATTGTAATGTCGGAATAGAAAAACATTTTTCTTGCAATTAATAATAATAATAATAATAATAAGTTTTTATTGTCATGTTCATACATATAAAAATACAGAATGAAAATTAATTGATAATAAGTCGGTGTAAGTGATGGTGATAGATGATATTTACAAGAACTTTTTGTAATGCTTATATGTACACAAATATGTTTTGTATATACACTATATGAAATGTGAATTTTTTTTTCCAGCAATGAAACCACACGAAATACAAGAAAAGCTCGGACTGACAAGAATACGTGATCGTAACTGGTATGTTCAGCCATCATGTGCAACAACGGGAGACGGGTTGTATGAGGGATTAACATGGCTCACATCGAATCACAAGTCATGATATGGAACTGTTCTAGGGCTCTTAGTCAAAAACAGGTGCTTGACTGCGTACCTTGGGATTACAGAGAAACATTTTTTGCCAGCTGTAAGCCGGGATGGTGACTTAGTGCTGCTACTGCAGTGACACTGGGTGACATTAATAACAGCAGCAGCAGTTTTGTTCAAACACCTCGCCGTCAATGTGATTCAGTTTCCTTTAAAAAAAGCTTAAGTCATAATATATTAAGTATTGAGGCTTAAATGATTCTTAAGAGTTACCTAGCAACAATATTATTATTTAACAAAGTGAGGAGGGGGCTTCCTGTTAATGTAAAAATGATTGGAAAAAAAGTAGAGACCAACTTATGATAATTTTGAACTGAAAAGTGTGATCAAAGTTGTTCTTGAAAACATACGGAAAGTTTTTATAACCCATTTCTAACATGTTTGTTATCATTTTCATGGTAGACCAGTGGTTTTCTGTCATCAGATAATGTTGCAAGCACAAGGTGCTGCAAAAGTAGAACTCTGGCGCCTTGGTTAATCGTCTGTCACTTCGACTGGTTCAATTTATCGTCTCGGATTTTTTTAAGTTAAGTGCATCATATACTGTTGCTAAATTATTTTTTGAAAACAAGATGAAAAGTTAATGCTGAAAGTTGTGGAGTAGCATTTTAGCTGCAATTTTTTCTTTTATATGATTGCAAAAAAGGGTTGCAACTGATTCCAGAAGTTCAAGAAACCCCACTTATATTACTAATACTTAAATAGATAGCTGCCATTAACATGTGTACAGCTAAATATTGTACACTGGTATAGAGAACAATTGGTTGTAAATATATATATATTATTAAAAAAAGACTACTTTTAAAACAGCAGAGGTGCATATTTAAAAGACATTTGTCTATAGCCCTGTGTTTGAATGCTTGCTTGGTATTGTTGAGTGTAGAATAGCAAAACCACAGTTCTGAATGCTGGTTGAGCACATATGCCATCCCCCTCCTACTTATTCCATATCTTGTGCAAAATTGCATTGTAAAATGAATATTTGTATATAGAGGTCAACCAAGATGGCTTTGTGTATGTTAATAGTCTTGCGAGTATACATTCTACCATCAAGGCATGATTTTGTACTCACAACATCACATTAAATATTTCAAAACAAAATTTAATTTGTTTTATTTTCAGTCAGAAAGTCGCCTCATTTTAAAGAGACAATGCATGGGATAGTGTTTCTTAGTTTTATTCGTATGTTCTTGACCATCACTAACAAGATCTAACTTCAAAAATGCCTTCAAAATTTTTAAGATCGTTTTTAAAAAAAATTAATGAAAAAAAGGTCAAATTTCTAATGAATATATCAAGTTCCTTCTATTTTGAGAGTTAAAGGGAACAAATTTTGTTTGAATCTAAAAAACACTGAAGAGTTTTAAGACCTTTCTTGGCACCTTGAAAATACTAGTTGATGGATTTTTGAAAAATGTGAATTACCAAAGTTGTATTGAATGAAATTCATTCATTGTATATGAACTTGAAAATTAAAATGCAATTAATATAAAATGTTGCACAAATGTGAAATATGATGTACTCTTATAGAATTTGCCTTTCGTCATCTTTCATCCTGTCTGAAGGGGATGCCTCACATATAATTTCAAGACAAGATAAAATTTACAGAAACAAATTTTTGCTTAAAAACTATTTTCATTTTTAAATCTAAATAGTCTGATGGCCATGGAAAAATGGAAGCAAATTTCAGACATGCTGACTTTCTGTTATTATAAAGGCTATTGTAGCTCTTAAAACCTGAGCGGATACATATATAGGCATAGCAACTACTTGGACCTAGTATCCTAAAAGCATGATGTTGGAAAGTAAATTTCGTTTATAAAAAACTTACGTCTATGCATGACCTATTATTTCTATAAATGAGATGGGGGTGATGTCTTAGCCGTTGTCTTTGTTTGAAAGTCTCTCTTGTCTCTAATTTTTAGGGGCAGTGTAGGCCCTATAGTGCTCGTTCCTTAAACTTTAAGAAAACATTTAAAGAGCATTTGACAATTAATAAGATAAAAGCAAATTGTATTAACAAATAAGCTGAATCATGTAAGTTGATCATGTATCATGAGTCTAAGATTTAAAGTACGCATCATCCAGTTGGTGTCCAGTGATCATCATCATATCCGAATCCCAGGACAAATATGTAAAATGCGTTAGATGTGACAGAAAACACCTAACACATCTTTGGCAGAATATCTTTGACCGTTTTCTCCTCTTACAAAATTTGTTTAATCTAATATGTAGAGAGAATGATTTCGCCAACTTCTAGAAGCGACACACATTCTTCTGATTTAAATTAAGACAAAGCATAAAATTTATTTTATTACTATCAATCAAATAACATCTGGGTATTTTGTTCCATGTGTCGGTGAGCGGAAGCAAGTCCTTAACCCAAAATGGCGGCTCCCTACAAAGTTCGGTGTTTTCTGCTTGGTCATGAAAAAGATGTGAGGTCGGTTGCCCCTGCCTTTTTCCCCGACGGTTCTTTTGTATCAGGATCTCGAGACGTGACTGCCAGACTATGGGCTCCAAATGAGTAAGTCACAAATTTATGATTCAAGTGTTAAACGAGATATAACATATCTGCTTCGTCACTTTTTATTGTCTTTCAAGTTTCATTTTACATGTTAATACATTAATTTCACGTTAAGGCTGTGCGCCTTAAACCGTGACGGTGTTTTAAATGTTCTTAGTCGAAACATGATATTTAAGTGCAAATCAAAAGAAAAACATTTTTAATGCTCTTCGACAATCACATGGGTTAAAGTTTTTAGAAATTTGCCTGATTTCAGGTTTTTCTGTCTTCATTTTGATCGTTTATTTTCTTATGGTTTAAATGCGATGAGAAATTGCAAGCTGTGTTTCTAGGATTTTTAGTTTCTATGACTTTCACCCATGCAATCAGGTACACAGCCTACATCAGGATATTCTGAATAAAATACTAGTACTCTAACACACTTACACATATTTGCATAAAATTTGATATGCTGTTAATAGCTCTGTAAGTTTTCTCTATAGTAATAAAATTGATTATAATGATAACATCTATGATGCATTCAGTAAACATGTCAGTGCAACTTACATAAAATCTTTTCAAAATACTGAAGTTAAAATGGCAATGAAAATAAAAAGAAAAAACAACAGACAATAAACAATCATTTTGCAGCATTGAGTGCATCCAGTCACTGTTTATTTTTCAGGTCTAACTGTCAATTCACAGAAGCCCATGTGATGAGCGGTCACAGTAACTTTATCAGCAGTGTCACAGTCATGCCTCCAAGTGATCAGTATCCTCAAGGATTGATCATGACAGGCAGCAATGATAATTCTATTCTAGCCTTCACGCTTGAATCTCCGCAGCCTGTATTTAAACTTACTGGTCATGAGGATACTGGTGAGCGATTATAATAATGCGATGACTTATTGCAAAACCATGTGTATCATTTTGAAGGTCATACTGTTCAAATTTCACAATGCTTTTATAAAGTAAATAATACAGCCACAAGAATTGTTATAGATCTATAGAAGTATTGTAAGCGTTCTTGCTCATACTGACAGTACATACTTTTTGTAGTGTTAATAAGTTATTAGTGAGAAATGTACCATTACATTATTTGTATGAGTTTCCCAGCACCACAGTTCATTTAATAGAAGATATAATACAGGGCATCAAGTTGTCAAGATGCAGACACTTGGCTTAACATTTGTCAACTCCAGCTTGATTATTTGTGTATATCCTTGCTTGTCATTCTTCCTTTAAACAGTGGATTATATCATCATCATTATTATTATTACTATTGTTATCATTATTAATTTGGAAAATTTTGTTTATTGTGTCTGTATTATCTTCCAGTTTGTGCATTAGCTGCAGGAAGGTTTGGCACTCTACTCAGTGGTTCTTGGGATAATACCGCCAAAGTATGGCTCAACAAGAAATGTGTCATGACGCTTAAAGGTATCTACTGGAGCGAATCAATCACATCACTTCAAGTTTGTCTTTTTCAATTAATTTTAGCTTAATTTGAATGTGGCGTCACTTTAACAATTTTGCTTTAATGTGCCTTTTTGCCTATTTAAGATCTGTTAAGATTCACTGGTCTGTAAACAAGTCTTTTTAGTAGATAGTCATCAAGAAATCCAACTTGACAGCTGTTGAGTGTGTATAACAGCATGGGAATCCCGAAACTTTAAGGAATTTAAAAGCAGCATTTCCATCTGTGTCTCACCACTCAGCTTATGATATCATATTTTGAAAAAAAATTGTTGCATGATAAACTTACTAGAGTAGTATTTCATTACATGATGAATGTATCCTTATGGATGACTAAAAACATTAACTCATTCACCAAATGATGCTTTGACATATTCTTTAATTTATTTTGCTTTAATGATGTGTGTCATATATCCCCTATTACCACTTGTGGATACCCATGTGTGACAACACACATACACACCAAAAAAAAAAAAACAAGTCCAGCTTCTCCTTGTGGACCCCAGTTTAAAGAACACAACTGAGCTTGCCATTTTGTAAGACAATAGAGTCTAGAAATCTAGTTATACATAATTTATGATGTTGACTGCTATGCTATGATTAATTGATTAATATATCCCCCTTATATTACAGGTCATGAGCAAGCAGTCTGGGCAGTGGCTATCATGCCAGAACAGGGCCTGATGTTGACAGGGTCAGCAGATAAGACAGTGAAGATGTGGAGGGCAGCCAGGTGTGAAAATACTTTTAAAGGTATGGAGTAAACATTTTGAATTGCGCAATAATTATCAGTATATATGTGCTGTATTGTGAAAGACTGAGGATGAGATTCTTCCTCTTTCTAGAAGATAGCTTGCTTTTTTTGCTGGACTGTGTGATATGATAAAAAATTGGGGTTAATTCAGGACTAGGGGAGGACATTTCTGTTCTTTTAACTTTCATTCTCCATACCTAAATATTGTAAGAAAAAATAATTCTTTGAAATTGTAGGTCATTCAGATTGTGTCCGTGGTCTGGCAGTTTTATCTGCTACTGAATTCCTGTCGTGTTCCAATGATGCCACCGTGAGAAGATGGCTCATCACAGGAGAGTGTGTTCACACGTACTCTGGACACACCAACTTTGTCTACAGCATAGCAGCTCTGCCCAATGGTCAAGATTTTGTGACCACTGGAGAAGACCGTACCCTAAGGATTTGGAAGGATGGGGAGTGTGCACAGACTATTACACATCCAGCTACCTCAGTATGGACAGTGTGTACATTACAGAATGGGGACATTGTAACTGGGGCAAGGTATTCATATTTTTCTTTATGTTAAAGAAATGGCATATATTCAAAATTAAGTCAACTAAAATATGCTAAAAAAATTAACAGATTTTTTCCTTCTTCATTTTTCATAACTGTTGTTGTTGTTATTATTATTATTATTATTATTATTTGGAACAAAGCTTCATGATGTAGTTCAGCTGAGCCCACTTCATGATATTTTCTCCTTTCTTACAGTGATGGAGTTGTGAGAGTCTTCACTAAAGACCCAGCTAGAACTGCAGCCGAGGAAACGCAGAAAGCATTTGAGGAAGAAGTGGCTGCCTCAAGTATACCATCCCAAGTTGGAGATGTCAAAATAGAGGATCTTCCAGGAAAAGAAGTTCTCATTGAACCAGGTATACATTCTGAAATAAAATTATGACAGGAAGGCATCTTTGACAATCTCATTCTGTGCAAAAGCCATGCCATCTGCCTCCCCTCTTTTACATCCCACAAAAAATGGCAGGAAGTTTATAACCAAAGTTATAGTAAATTGAGCAGTTTATGTATTGGCATTTTGTGTGCAAATTGTCTTGGATATATTTTATATCAAGTCTTTACTCAAATAAAAAATCATGGAATCTATTTTCATGGAGAATTTAAGTAGATTTGTGGTGAAACATAAATTGTCCTGATTCAAGCCAATAGAGTTTTGCAATACAACTTTACAAAAGTACCCTGAGTCCCCTTGTTTTTTTACTGCTATTAGGTACACGTGAGGGCCAGACCAAGCTGGTTAGGGAGGGACCCAGGGCAATGGTGTACCAGTGGAGTATGGCAGAAAGTAAGTGGGTCAAGGTGGGTGATGTGGTGGGAGCCTCAGGGGGATCACAGGAGACATCCGGCAAGACATTGTATGAAGGAAAGGTAAGGCATGTGTCCTTCAAGGCACAATGGTTTTGAAATTTAAATAAAGTTTTCTACTCCATTAAACACAAAATTGAATATTTGTTGTAAAAGTTCAGGCCCCCGTTTCACAAAGAATCTTAAATCCGTAGTTGACTAGCTCGAGCTGAATGGCCTAGCTAAGTCGACTACGCTGCAGTCGACTAGGAGTGTTTCACAAAGAATCTAAAGTCGCAGCTTGGCGTGCTTACCGTAGTCGACGCGCACGAGAAACTCTTCAAGAAAAGGAGGTGTAAAATTTCAAAAGTTTCACAAGACATGACGTTTTATGGCCTCTTTCAGCCGAGAACGATCGTTTATCAACAATAAAAATCAGCCAAAACACAAACAAAGTTTGTTTTTGAACTTTATTGATTAGTTTAACTTCGATACATCTTCAAAGTAACAGTTAAACATTAGCTTGTCGTGGAACACTGCTGACGGACGTCTAGCGGTCAAAAACATAAACAAACACGCGATCGACTGGGTGAAGTGGCATTTTATTTTTTTATTTCAATATTCCATAAATGTCAGTGCTATTTAAGGATATTATAACACTATTTCTTGAAGGAGGTATGTTCTTTCCAAATTTTTGTTGTTTATGCTCTCATTTACCGAGTTTTAGTTGAGCTTGCCGACTTAAGTCTCCTCCCGAGGAGGCTAAACATTGTCGACTAGCAGCTAAGAAAAAAACGACGTAAGCGACCTTTTAGATTCTTTGTGAAACGGGACTTAGTGACGTAACGACTTAATTAAGTTGGTAACCAAGCTCTTAGTCAGGGAAACCGACTTAAGTTTTTTTGTGAAACGGGGGCCAGGGGTATATATGATAAAGTGGTAAAGTTCCATTCGCTTTCTTGCCAGCTTTTAGCATATGGACTTTATTATAGAAAGATGGCTTTTATTTTTTCCAAGAAAATCCAATTTTTGGCCAAAACGAAGAGTTATTATGACTTTAATATTTGGTATTATTAGCAGTAAGAGTTGCAATATTGTTACTTTACATGTCATGGTACTATGTATAAAATTGTATTTCAGGAATATGACTATGTATTTGTTGTGGATGTAGAGGAAGGAAAACCACCACTAAAACTTCCATATAATGTCACGGAGGACCCCTGGTTTGCTGCCCAGAATTTTATCCATAAAAACAACCTCAGCCAAGCTTTTTTGGATCAAGTGGCAGGATTTATTATTGAGAACACCAAGTCCGTGACATTTAGCCAGCAGTCGGCAGGCTCTTACAGCGACCCATTCACAGGTCAGTATTGGATTTTTGCCAAAAGAATGAGTTTTAAACATGCTATGACTCGAGACTTAAGTAAGATAATCATGAATTAAAAGAGTGAAAAGAAGTACTGTTCTACTTTCTCTTAAACTCACTGGATAGTGTGAAAAAGATTTAGTGCAGTGAAAAAGGTGTTGAAAATGCAATAGCAGTCCCTAGATATGCAACACACTTTTATATTTTAATGTCACTTATTTTTACATGAAGTTCCCAAGACCTGTCTTCAAGTTCAATTCCAGGGACCATGTAAAAAACTATTAATTTACTAGGACCTTTCAATTTCAAAATGACCTTAAATTGTGTCAGACGTTCTTAGACATTTTAAGAGTCTCAACCCTTCTGATTTGCTGAGTACTTTTTTTCATTATTTTAGGTGGAGGTCGGTATGTCCCTGGCACAGCAGAGGGCAGCACAGGTGTGAGTTCAGATCCTTTCACTGGTGGTGGACGCTATGTGCCTGGAGCCTCACAGCCACAGGGCCCTGCACCTCAGTCAGGCTCTGATCCCTTCACTGGTGCTGGTAGCTACCGTCCATCAAATGGTCAGACGTCCAGTGTGGCAGGAGGAGACATGGGCAATAGCCTGGACAACCAGTACTTCCCGAAAACAGCATTCCTTTCCTTTGACCAGGCAAACACACAGGCCATAATGAGTGAGTATGATGGGAATTGTTTTCATTGAACAGATTATACAGTACACATATAGATTTTTTTAAATGTAAAAATATAAAACCTAATTTGGTAAAGTATACACACCATATATTGAGTAAATAAAATGACCGTCATGAAACAAATAGTCCTTATCTCATTTGATTACCTGTTTAGAAAACACATGAAATTATTATTTTTTATTATACTGTGTATTTTTTTTTTGCAATGAATGTTAATTTTGATATCATTTAATCAAACGAAAAAAGATAATTTTTGTGACATCTTTTATCCCTAGGCAAGCTAAAGGAATTTAATAGTAGCCTAAGTTCAGAACATGCAGTTGAAGAATCCAGTCTAGCCCAGCTGTCAGTGTTTCTGGAGTCTGGCTCCCCGACTGCTGCTCAGTTGGAGCTCCTCTGGCAGCTGTTACATTGGCCATCAGGTCAGTGGAAAATCTTTGTAACATTCTGTAAAATGTTGTGTGTTTTTTATGTTGAGACTTAAATATAATTCAGTTTAGTAAAGATACAGGTCCAGTTGTAAAGTTTAGGTAATCTGTTGAGATTTTTTTTTTGTCTCTTTATCCCGTTGCCCATGACCTAATTTTTGGTGTTTATATCTTCTATAGCACAGTGGATTGATTCTTATTTCAGATTGACAGAAATTTGTAGTTGGTGAAGTGTACAAGAAATGTGGAGTTGCCTGCATTTCCTGTATTTTTTTATCTCCATATTTTTGCAAACTTTGCTGTCTAGTTTTAACAGAATGTCAGCATACTGCTGATTTAGGACAAAAAAGTACATTATAAATCTTTAAATTTTTATATCTTTCAGGCAATGTGTTTCCTGCCTTAGATGTGCTGCGCTTGGCCATCAGGTCAGAAGAAGTGAACCAGCATTTCTGTAACCAGAAGGATGGGCCACAGTTCTTGAACCACTTGCTAGTGCTAGGGGGTGGAGACGAAGCACCCGCAGCCAACCAGATGCTAGTTCTACGCGTCATATGCAATGCCTTTAAAAACAAACCAGGGGAAAAGCTCATGAACTTGAACAGAGAGAAAATTGGGAAATTGTTGGGGATATGCCAGAAGACCAGTAACAAAAATGTACACATAGCACTCAGTTCTGTTTTACTCAATTTTGCTATCAGTCTCCATCCTACTGAAGATGTGGAGGCAAAGGCGATGGTTTTATCTACGGCTGCTGACGTTGCAGAAAGTGTCAAGGATGAAGAGTCACAATTCAGACTTCTGGTTTGTCTAGGAACTTTAGTGTCTCAGGACCCCAATAGCAAAGCTCTGGCAAAGTCCCTAGACCTTGGTCAGTTTGCCAAAAAATTGACACACAAAAGAGGCAAAGTGGGTGATTGTGCTTCCTTGGTATGGAATGCTTTGCAGTAGTCCAAAATGCCAGTGACCAGAAAATGTACCATTAAGAATGTTTTTTCTCTGTACTTTGCTTTTATGCTGATGGCCTCATTAATGAAATGCAATTTTCCTACTTCAATGAAAAAGGACTTCAAGAATGTAGCTAGAATAGTATTTATTGAATGAAGTAAACTTAAAATGGTAAGATGTATTGTTACACTTTGTTTTGTGCATATGACCAAAAGTATCTGCATGTGCATTTGTACCATCTTGCCAAAGTTAATGACAAAATTTTCTGAAATAAATTCTCTAAATATTTGCATCTATTAGATAATTACTGGACTTTTTGAGGTTTAAAGTGGAATCCAGTACAGGGCATAATTTGCCAAAAATGTTAGTTGTTTAATGACATTTCAAGTTGTGCAAATATTGACATAAAATCCTCTCACTTTAAATCTATGACAAAGTTGTGGATGCTTTGAGTCCATTTGGTAAGCATTTTTTACTGACAGGCCCGAGCAATGCCAGTTGCGTCAACGACTGTGGAGTAATCAGTTTCCATGAACATAGCTCCTGCTCGGTAAAATTCAAATTAAGTGTCATGTCTATCTCACGTCGATCTTTTTTAAAATAAATCTGATTTTATCTCATTGAATAATAAAAAAAGGCTTGAGCAAATATTTTTGAAGCACCTTCCGTATCAAGTGATGGTATTTGAGCGTAATAGGTTGGTGTACTTGGTCTGGAACTGGTGAGAAATCTCCACGGGTGCAGGGGCCCCACCATCGAAATCCTTCAACACCATCTTGCCCGTTGGGACTATAAAAGGTAAATAGGTAAATGTCATTGTACATTTAAAACATTGAATCACTAATCACATATACAATATCGATTTATCGTGTATGTGGAGGCTTTCGGGTTTTACTCCTTTCAAAATGCGCGCAGTTGTTGAGGATACAATGGCTGTGCGTGTTTGAAAGGCGATAAGTTGTGCGTTTGTTTTATCGATATATTTCTGATTTCAGTTTCTAAAGAAAGACATAAAGAGAGAGTTAAGGTTACCTGCACACTCTCTTCTTCTAGAGAATGGTAGACCGCATAAACTGGAAATGCTCTCGTGGTCCGGGACCTCATAGCGACAGTTCGGGAGACACGCTTGGCCGTAGAACACACCTTTATCTAGTTGTTGAAATAATCACACAGTCATTTATGATATAACAAAATTGCAGAACTTCATTATCCGTGATATCCCCCGTTATGTTATAAGATATTGAGAAAACATTTAAAACGTAATGAAAGTGTGCTTAAAAATGGTATGTTTTACGAATTACGTCGTAACTTAAACGCGAAATAGTGCATGAAATGTTTTTCGGTAGCACGTTTGCTTCTTATCTTAAATGCCCCAAGTCAAATTTACTTATTCATTGAAAATATTTTGCCCAAACACGTTTTTCATACAATTTTAAGTGAATAGCAAACCTGTTTTCTATTTCAAAATGACATGTACTTGGTGGTATTTCATTAGTGAATAACGAAAAGAATCGTAGAATTTAATTTTTTTACGTACCTCGCGGTGCTGGAAAGCCGCGCCTCTTCCGAGTGAGATATCTGTATGGACTGCCTGTACAGAGCGTGGTGGTCTGGAAATAATTACACGTTATAAAAAATATGATCATGCTCAAAGCATATTTACCATTAAGCATTATTTTTTAAACACCAACAGAAAATGTGAGGGGAAATTATAATTTAAGTACAGCCAAAGCTGCAATCAGATACTGTTTTTTACTAATTTGTTTCACTCTACGGCAAAGTAAATAATATTGTAGCAAGAATATATACATTCTTGCTGTGAATTTTATCTATAGCCTACTCTGAATATGATAAAATACGAACAACTTTAATTGGCCTTTTACGCCAAGAACTTTTTGGGAAAGAATTACGTATTTAATAAGTTTATAATCTTAAATTCAATAATTATTAATGAAACAAAACCAACAACGCATTTTAGAACTTCACAGATGTCTCATTCTGAAGGGAAATGCTAACCTTAACAATTCTTCACACATTTAGAAAAAATCATACTAGAGTAAAAATAGATTAAAAAAACTCTGCTTACTGTTGGGTTGAACTTAGTACGCGCGGGGATGATGGCCTCGGGATTCGCGCATGGCTCTGGAAGCATGGGCACTGGAATGAAATTCAACATATTAGAAAATATAACTCCGCTTATCTTTGAATTGAAAAACAGCAAGATTTTTTATTTTTTATACATACAATCCAAAGTACGGCATTTTCAGGGTTGTCAGTTTTATTCTCTAGTACTTTTTCGCTAAACGAACTTGCTATTAAGACTGCCACGTAAAATGATGATACTATTTTGACAATGCATTAGTTTGCGCATTTGTTTATTTACACCTTCGTTATGTTTGTTCAAATGTCTATCCATCTGCCACTGTTTGTCTGTCACTCTGCCTGTTATTATTATTATTATTATTATTATTATTATTATTATTATTATTATTATGCTATGTTCCATGTTTCAGCACTTACATATGCAGTGATCAGCTCGGTTCAACTTGGGGAAACAAAGATGTCTTCGTTCTGCATGTTTCTCGGGGTAGGACGTCCTCGTAATAGACTTCTGTACAGGCGTCTGGGTCGTTTGTACTTTGTCTTCATTGTCCGGCAGCACTGTACAAACTGGCTGGAAATATATATGATTAGTAATAACTGTAATGGGGAATTATATTAACTGTCAACCCTATATTCGTTTCAGAAGGAAATGATAATGATGGTTAAAAAATAATGATGCTAACAATAAAAGTACTCGGAGAGCGCAGACCTCCTGCAAGGCAGCTCCAATTATTATTAATCATTGCTTAATTAGAGAATCAATCAAATTAAGTAACCAATTCCACATTGTTATTATTTTTTTATTCACTAATTAATTAGTTGAATTCTCATTATTAATTTATTAATCACCAAATCAAGTCCATTTCTGACCTATCCTGAAAGATTTCATCAAAATTCCTCCATAACATATGTAGTGTATTGGTCTATGTATTGTTTATGCGGCACACCATGTGTGACATGACACCTGGTATCATGTGACTTGGAGCGGTAATCTTGAACGTAATAAACTAGAACTCACAACAAGGGCGACAAGGATGGTCAGAAACTTATCACAGTGAATGAAAATTTTATGATTTTAGAAAACGTGGAGCCTCTGTGCTCAAATGTGTGTGACAGTGGTTGTGATGAAACACGGATTATACAAATGGAAAATGAAATTAGAGAAGTTAAACTCAAAATTTGAAGGAACTGTTGGAAAACGTATAAAATGAAAGAGGCATTACAGAAGTTTCACACAGAATTTATCTCATATATGAGACATGATAAGCCATCCTTATTGAAAAATTCCGCTTTACCCTTGAATAATGCTCAGCCTGGACACATCGAGATAAATGATTCACATGATGCCGATATCCCCCTGGCTTCAATACTTCAACGGAGTCGCCAACTCCTATTCCAGCGGAGCTATCAAGTCCAAATGCTGATTTTACAGCAGAACCAAGGCGACCAGCTATCAGTGTTCCAACTGCGCCAGCGTAACGTTATGGACATCAAAATTGTGATACAGATCCGAGAGGGCCACAGCGACAGTTCCGTGGCGATATAGAATCTACCCAGATTCACTCCCATGCAGAGTTCGCGGCAAAGGGATACTCTCCTGAATACTAACGAAAACCGACTGCCACATACAAGAGGTAGGTCATTTCCCATATATAACGAGTCACATTCCCTGCCCCAAGTCGCCCACCCGTTTTCAATCCTATGATGGAAGTACTAACTTCAATTCATCTTACGTAAAATTATGTTGAGTTGCTGAGAGCGAGGGATGGGAAGTCATAGAAATCTATGGATGAAATTATGATCAATTCACTCGAAGCCCTCGACGAGTTCGTAAAACTACCACCTAACGAAAGGATGCACCTATATAGTGCCGTAGATACCCTCATGATACCCTCTACCAGGGTGAGTGATAGATTTTTTACAGATATTCACAGATATGTCTCTAGCTAGGTAGATGGTCTAGCTAAACTAAGTTCAGCTGTAAATGACTATCTATCTAGCTAGAGACATATCTGTGAATATCTGTAAAAAAATCTATCACTCGCCCTGGTAGAGGGTACCCTCATGAAATGTTTCGGAAAAATTGAGAACTTATCCTTAGGGCGGACAGAACTGGCCGCTATAAAACAAAAAGAAAATATCGCATTCTCTTGATCAGTAAATTGTCCTTGGTATAACGTAGTGTAGTAGATATCGCTGCGCTGTCACATCTGTTAATAACAACCTGATCAGTTCTGAGTCTGCCTCTCAACAATAACGTATAGGAGGTATTACTGTTCAGCCATGGTCACTTCTCGTAACAACTCCTTTTTCAGTTCTGTCACCTTGTGGTTGGCCATCACCCACGTTAGGAGGGGTCACACATTGACCATATAAGGGTTTTAAGGCCCTCTTCCCTTACAGGGCTTTAAGTGGTCATGATGTTGCTCACAGACAAACAGGTTTTATAATTAACTGATTAATCAATTAATGGATCATCACCAAGATATAATCGATTTTTATTTGGTCCACTCCTGACAGTTAATGAAAATTACATCAAAATCCGCCCACAGCTTTTTCCATAATCGTGCTAACAGGCAAAGAGATAAACAACCAAAAACATAACCTTCTATTTATAACAACCAATAATGGCAATTATGTCGGAAAAATCGAAAATGACAACAAACAGGATGCAGCAATAACTCTATTACCAACCTTAAGAGAGAGAGAGAGAGAGAGGACGTCATCTGGCCATTACCCACAGATGCATATTTCATGTACTTCAAAGTCTCCTCTTTTTTCTTTGAACGCCAGTTGAAAATATCCCTAACTTAAGTACCTGATCGTGGATGCGTCTTATCGTCCTCACGTATTTCGCCTGTGGTCTATTCCTGGCGGGAGACGCTGGGCGGACCTCTGGGCATTGTGGCGGGGGTCCCGGGACATAATCCAGCAGATATGTGTCTCGGGTGCTCGACGACCAGGACGAAGAAGGGAAAAAGTCGCTGCTGAAATACGGAAATCGATATTGGTTATTTTGTTTCCATTTTTCCTTTCCTCATTCTGCAGGAGTTCACTTCTGGTATAACTATAAGGACTAAGAGTCATTTAGATACACTGTTGGCAGATTTAAAATGGAATCGGTGAAACTATGTTTTAAACGTCATGTAAATAAAATTAGGAATAAACAAATTGACTCGTAGACGAACGTAAAATGGTCATCAGCCAACTCTCATTGTCATTTTCCTGACTAAAGGGACGCAAGGCACACTTGCAGTTGACCAAAAGCTTTCTATATAAGCCTTTTGGGGACATAATTATACATATCAATAAAACATAAAAAAATTGGAAATGGAAACCAGCTCTCTTTTGTGACATATTTCATGTCCTGCAACGTATCTCACCTACAAAGTTTGGACCAAAGATGCCAGCTCCCGGTCATACAGCGTTTTACATACTTTTTGCTATTCATCATTGATTTAGTGACAGGTAAAATCTACTTATATATCTCTGGAACAAGTTTTCTCCGCTTGCCTGCCTCAATGATTTCATCACGTTTTTCTCAACGATCCATCAGTTGACAACTAGTCGATGGCAACTCGGCGCCCGTGACGTTGACCAAACATGCTAACTAAAAATTTATAAAGATGCCCAATGGGCATGACAACATATTCTTTTACGCCTCTACATCAAGTTTACGTTCTGATCGCGTCTTGTTTGTTATAAACGCGTTTCTTTTTCTCTGCGCATACAATTTTGTTTATCTACAAATATGTATTTTGTGTAATTATTTCCCTTTAGCTGTAGACATGGTTTAAAAGTTTCTTTTCAGTGTTAGTTTGTTATCATTATTGTGAATGTGTGTGTGTGTGTGTGTGACAAAGAGAGAGAGATCAAGACGAGAGTACGAACCAAAACGAATGAAAGAACACAGCAAATCCACCTCCCGCATGCCGAAAATTTTCGATTTTTTAAGTCTATTTCCTCTTGAAGTAAGTAGCTTACCAACGAGACCTTTTGAACCTGTATTGCTAACAGTCAAATCTTATAAAATTCGATATATGATTAATTGTCATAGTGTCTGATAGTACCCAAATCCTTATGCCCGATTAGGGAATTGATTTTTTGTGCGTGCTATGCCACTGTGTTCTGACTGTCAAACAAAACATACAGGCTGTTTTCTTTACCAGATTTTCAACAAATCAAGACAGAAGTAGGAAACTGGGAATTGATTTTCCGATACAAGACGGCAAAAATAAAATAGAAAGACGGCAGTTTAACCGACTGTACATATTAATGAAGCCGCTTTCCGGGTGGTAACCTCAGAGTCTGTTGTAAAAAATTAAGAACCTGACTGCACATCTGCAAACAGCGGTAAATGCAGTCTGCATTGGTAATGTCATTGTTGACTGCCATAATTAAATCTACGATCCCATTATAACCATTAAGTATTCAATGAAAACTTTTGGACTTAAAAAAACTATTTCGCTGGCCAGTTCTCTCAGGCCAGCTCATTCTATTTAATGTTTCCACAGCTAGAACACAAACTAAAATTCCAGACGATGTGTCGTAAGACGTATCTTGGTTTGGGCGTATAAAGAAACTTGAATGAATGTTCCTTAAATAAGTAGAAAGGCAGAGCCAAGGGTAGCACAATGTTTAATGCACCGTTTCTTAATTTTACTCGAAAACTACTCAATTTTACGGAGGGTACATGGTATTTATTTTTTTCATGCAATATAATTTTGTTCCAAGAATGGCATTCCATTTTTTTACAAAATAAAAGAAAACTCATTCAGCGGGTATAAGGAATTTAAAAAAATGATTCAAACCTTTTCCGATTAGACTTGAGAGCTTGCATGTCATCATTACGGTCAGTCTTTTAATTTCCCAGTTGGTCTTTTTTTTCCACGACAGCAACCGAATTTACGTTCAGTGGCTTTAAAATCTTCAGGTCTGATTCTCTACAAATATCTTTGGATATTTCTAACACAATCAATGCTAAGGGCACAACCCCCGACCCATGCTTGCCGACTCCATTCCACTCACCTTGAAGCAGATACCCGAAACGGGAATGCCAGCGGCTTGATGTTAATCTTATCAAATGTCCTTTCCAGCATGTTTTTTTCACTCAAATATGTCCCGATGAGCAAGCAACATGTTGTCACATGTTGTCGCTTGACGGAGCTCCCGATTTGGTGGCTTGTTCAAGCTATTTGTTTCGAGGGGGAAAAGTCAATGGATGTCAAATCGCTATAGTAGCAAATCTGACTTCGATTTTCAATTATGACGTCACGTGTATTGTTTCGTTTACATGCAGGCATGGCGTAACGCCTTTACCTCACAGCGTTACGGGAGGGGGGGCAGCGAAGAGGCTAGGATACTTATTTTATTTCAGGTTGAAAGCAATTTTACCAATGGAGATAAAAATTTAACGAAGGCTAACGAAGGTAAAAGAAAAAATTCATTTCAAGGAATATAATGAAACATACCAAGTTATGGCGTTAGGTAAGAAAAGAAAGGGAAAAGTTAGGTTGAGGGTCCATATTTTCGTTCACATAGTAATGCATGGTGGATGATGGGAAGAAAGAAAAATATTATAATTAAAGCACAAAGTCAATATAACTTCTTTTGAGAAGAGAGAGGAAAAGAAAAAAAATACACGTAAATCTAGAAGTGAAGTTACGCCGAATAATCGAAAATAACTGATTTTCCATTTTTCTATTCAAAATTCACCGTTCAAGGGGAAAAAAAGAAAGAAAAAATATTTCGATCTATTAATATTTCCACACAAAAAAAGCTTAATTGTCATTGATAACAAATTAAATCAATGGTTGGAGAATTCATTCTGATGTTTCTACATTGAATATATATTTAAAGACCTCGGGTGGCACATTCGATAACCCCCATCTCGACAGTATAAATACAATTCTGCTTACATATTAACCTCTATGTACTCCCGTTTCAATTGACTTCTAATAGAAATATTTGAGTACCGCCAGCATAGTGTTTGTATTTACTGTTAAAGCAACAAAATGAAAACACGAGCTAAATATCCAGCAGTTCAAACAGTCTAGCTGCCCAAATGTTTTCATGTAAAGAGAACCAAAAACTTGTGATGACACTCATTTCTATTTATTCGTTGTTACAAACAAACTAATGGCAACAAGAAATTAATTCACTTCGGATACCGGAAAATCAGAGAAAGTAGATTTCAATGCATAACTAATAATAATAATAACAATATGTATTTATTTGCAACTTAAAAAGTTGGATTTTAGAATAAAATAAAAAAATCTTAAAACATACTTGTAAGCTTGGACATAATGACAAAATTATGTCCAAGCTGTAAGTGTTAAAATGATTCGATACACATTAAAAGTTCATAAAAACCTTAGTTTTTAAAATTTGATAAAGCCCAGGGTATAAAAGTTTTAGATGATCGGACAGTCCTCAGTTTTGGCACAGAGTACTTATAATTTACCCCCATTGGCATGGGATAAAATGCTGTGTGAGCTTTTTCGTGTTTTTGATACTTATCCTTTAGTGCTAAAATTCAATTATTCATTTTTCCATTCACTCAAAACACTTTGTCCATTTCGTTAGGTCCATATGAAAGTCACTGCCACTGTGAGCCTACGTCAACCGGAGTCTGAGGATTTGCTGGCAACTCACTTCTATATGTGTAATCAGCATTATTTTTCTACGAGGCGGTTTTCCAGTAATCTCTGAAACACAGGGTGGCTACCTTTATGACAGAGGGGCAACACTCGGTCGACATTAACACCGTGTCTCCACTATCACGAGTAGTACGACAAAACATAATAAGCAAGTTGATTGATATACGGCAGGTTGAGGCAGCTTTTACTCAAATGAGGTTTTATTAATTTATATTAACTAATTGACCAGGTTATCAATATGGTTACCCAGATGATTGATGAGACTACTAAATTATGATGTAACCAAGATTCTATGTTAATCAGTTATGCGTAAACGAATTTTGTGAGGATGAGAACTTGTAATTTTTGTTCAATCTTTGAAAACACAGCGAGCAATGTTTATGGGAGAAGTGAGGTAACCTTCTAATACATATCTTTTTTCATTTGGCGAAAAGGAAAAAGTCACAAATGATATAATAATGATTTTTTTATTAAAGAGTCAAATATTGCGTAAAGTAACAAGCAATTCTGACAAGTAGCATAATTATTGCCCATTTTTTAGTCCGTCACCATATCTTTTTAATAGTAATATGCTTCAAAAACGTGATCAGTTATACATATATACATACACAGATATGACAGACAAAAAAGAACCATACTATCTATTATTGCTTCATACCTATGTATTTTACCTCCAAGTCTAGATGTTCTTTTTAGATTTTATCTACTGAGATTCACTAAGTGTATCACTGTCATTGCAAAGCACAAGACGTAATTCTTTATCTCTTGGGAAATGTTACTCTTAATCTCTTTTAATTCTTTTTCAAAAATGTCTTCAGTCATAAGTGCGACCTTTCAAAAAATCAATATATTAAATCCAATGGATTCATTTTTTATATATAAATGGCATAAATATGAAACAAGCTTAAAGTTGTACCCTGAATATATATGTATGTACAGCTGCCAGAATTATACAGCCAGCCTTGTCAGACAGATATTAATTATTCTCCCCATATCACAATACACTTATATCATTCACATTAGGATTCAGTGTTCAGTGTCACAAAGAAACAGTTCAACACTGGTCTGTACTTTAAGACCAAAATATACTTGTCTATTTTGTCCCTGGATTGAAATAGACCAAAATCTTACATTTATAGGACAAACTTCCTCTTTTAGCTCTTGTATTGAACTTGGCTACTTATATTACATTCTAATATGATACATCATGACTTCAAATCTGTAAGCCAATTGAAAAAATTGCATAATATATATATATATGTATATATCAAACATGGCACTTGGTAACAAAGGACTGTGTAACAGGGGATCATTTTTTAAAGTCCTTAACAGAACAAGCACATTTTTCACTTGCTTTTGATATGCAAGTAAGTCCCAGATATAACCATAACTCATCACATGTAAAGTATAAGTTTCATTGCCTGAGAGTTGACTAAAATCACTTATCTTTAAGTTAACTGATCCAAGCTTCATGAAATATCTTTTTTAAAAGAAAATTGGAAGTATTCATATTTTTAATCTGTAACTTTTAAATTTAAAGAAACTTGTGCGTAACACTATAACAATGTTAACCTACACTATTCCACTTGAATGGTGTATGAAGCAGGGAAGTAGATGGCAGTGGGAAGTTCTATACAATGTCAAACTTGGAAAAACTGAATACTTCTTTCCTTGAAAATTGTATTAAAACGTTATTGACCTTGAGTGACACTAACTTCAACCGTTTTTAAGGTGTCAGTTTTGTTATTGCTTTTCCTCAATATGGTTATCATCCTGCACAGGGGCGTCGTGAGTGTAGCCATTGCCGTCGAAACCATTGTTGTCGTAGTACACTTTGCTGTTGTCTCTTGGCTGATCCTAAAATAAAGAACAAAAGAACATATATATACCTAATCATTTCATGGAATCTACACCCAAGACCAAACAATAGGATTTCATTTCCGTATGTCAATACTATGCGCCTTAATATGCATATGACCATTACTCCATAGAGCTGCCAAATGATGTTGCTGCATTATAGAAATTAAACTGAATCTATATTTGCAAAGAAGGGATTATTCCTGATTTCAGTAAGAGTAATGGACTGAAGAAATGAACAAAAAATTATTTTATTGCTCGTCTCAAATATGTACATAATTTTTGTAAGAGGGTTTCTAATGGAAATGCAAAATGAATTCATAACACATTTCTAGCTTTTTTTTTTACCAAAACCTATTTGATTTAAAACTGTCGTTGTATTGTTTGTATGCAAGCTTCAAATGATAACTGGGTTGCATCCTACCCAGGGAGGTGAGAATGCCTATATACAGTCTGAATCAGGGTCCAAAAAATATGCCAGACATATTCTTGTATTGTCATCTTGTACTGAGATGCAGTGTTGACAATGGGGTATATAAGAGAACAGCCTTTACTTTTATATTCCAGGAATAATCAACCAACATTCATAATGGCAGTGTTCCTTTTGCATTAAGAAAATGTTCATACTTAGAATCTATGGTTATTCCATATGTTTGTGTTTCAGGGTGAATAATCCATTTAGGGATGATTCAATTAAAAAAAAATGGTCATGTGCTCAAGCTCTACAGGTAACATTATTACAAAGTACTACTTCTACACTGAAAGAACTGTCTCAATATCCCTAGAAAACATTTTCAAGCAAAAAAAAAAATAAATAAATAAATAAATAAATAATAAAAACATGACCACACACATTTGGGGAAGCTACACATCATGCACCAGTACAAACTTTCCCACCATCACAAAAAATGAACCTGACATAACTATAGGAAGTAATGTCCATTTTACCACAGGAAACAAATATTCCTTAAGTTTAGCCAACAAAGGTACACCTGCACTGCTTTTTTGACAGGAATCTGAAAGTTTAGAAAGTACCATGCAAAAGTTCTACAACAGTTAAAGACTGTTACCAGGTTGAAGAATACTGCAAGTGATACATGCATGCACATTGAAATATTCAATCAGGTAAAACACTTGCAAATAATATACATAGAAATAGCTATAAAGTGAAGTCTCCAATCATATGTTAGGGGATGCATTAGGATATTATATGTTGTGCATAAATGGGAATAGGAAATTTCACAAAGCTGTACTATAGCACATATAGGGTGTGCTGAGTATTAGTAATTTTATTAGTAACTAGATTAGTTATGAGCAATTACAGTTACCATATTCACCAAGGGTTTTTCTCCATTCCTTATATTCCAAAAGAATAAGAAAAAGGCCCAAGTAAAATATTGGTTAGTAATATTCAATGTAAATAATAAGCTAAATCCCCCAGCTATGAGAGAACAAACAAAAAGTCATCAAGCAGAAAAATAATATTAGTGTACAAAATTATGACAAATAAATTCAAGCAATATATATATATATATATATATGTATATGGATAAATAGAAGTAGACTTAAGAAATTGAAAAGATATGTATGAGAAACTACGTAATTAATTTTTAATAGTTTGTGTTTTGAGTAATTAATCTTTGATCCTGTACAAGAAAATCTCTTTTGAAATTATTTACTTTTAAGAAACAGAAATGTTTCATTAAAGTATATGCAGCATAGTAGTAGCAGTGAAATAATTTTTTCTAGAAACTGTGAAAGCACAAACAAAAGCAAGCACTAATCTCACTAAAAATCTTTAGTTGAAAAGTTGTCACAAATGTTAAAAGGCTTAAATTGTTAGACAAGGTACTTGCAGAAGTAAAAGTAATTGAAACAACCAGGAGTGGTCTTATGCACCTAGATATATCTGAAATTTAGAGATAGTTAATCCAAAAGAGATCTTCCTGTGCTGGATAATTAGCTTTTCATGTACAGGCATACCTTGTGGCTAGTGAGGCTTTGAGTGGACTTTCTGTATGCCCTTTCTTTACGGAAATGGCAGCAACGTTCCACCAGGATAAATACGCCTATGAGAATTATGGCCCCGCCAACACCCCCAATTATAGAAAATATCTGTATATCTGTCAGGTCTGCAAAATAAGCAACAAACAAAGCAAAATAAGTGACCTTTAGATGACCTTGCCCTCATTTTTTTCAACTACTCAAAAATGATGAGTCATGCTTGTTGCTGCAGCGTGTCCAGGATAACCTTAGACATCAAGTTAGACCAGAATCAAAATTTTCTGGAACTTTTAAATTTTCTGAACAGTCTATAACACAGACAAACAACCAAGATACGATGCAGTCAATCGCATGAGCCATACATTTTTGCTACAGAGGCAGGCAGACTCGGTGAGAGCACCAGAGCCTGACCAGGGGTGATCTGCTGCTGCCCCCTATTTACCTGCATGTTGTGAAGTTTGTAAACATGACTGGTTTCATACTCTCTCCGCTGTTGACAGCATTTGCAGATGAACACCATAAGCATGAGCAACAGAAGCAGGGCTGCTACACACACCACAATTACTATCACCATTGTTGTGTTTAACAAACCTGAGACACCTGTAAAATATGGCATGATTATTACAGCTCCAAACTTTTCAATTTTGTTTTGATGCTTTAATATTTCAATTTTTTTTTTTTGCCTGAATGGTCACTGGTAACAAGTATGCAGAAACAGAGGGGAAATTTCAATTTGAAAAATATTGATTATTTTAATTTTAACCTGGGCATTTATGCACTTTGTAAATATTTGCAATGGCTAGCATAATGAATATGTGCCACAAAAAAAGGAAATGAGGATAACTTACTCTTGATCTATTATTTTTTAAACATGTTAACTTGAATTCCAAGAACAACAATCTTGAAAATTTTTTGATTTTTCAAAAACTGTTGTGATCAATCAATTAATACTAATTCCAGTCAAAATGAAATTTTGTTTTCTGTTAGCTATAAGCTGTCCCTGTAAAATATGTTAATCAAAATCCTGAAATGCAATTATTATTCAGAATAAGAGATATATAATAAATTATCTAGCAGTGAGTTTTTTACTTGTAAATTATTTCATTATCCAAAAGGTAATTCCTTGCAATCAAGCCTTCCAAACTTTAAAAAGAAAATCAATCCAACAAGGAAGGTTTTCAACTTCTTTCCCCTAATTCATGTATAAGTCTGAACATCTTCTGTGGCTTTTTCTCTAAATCCTCCCATTAAACTCAGAAACAATTAAATTGTCACTTACCACCAGTTGGTTTTTTATCTGTCCCTGAATAAATAAGAAAAAAAGGAATTAGAAAGAATTTGTATAGTATCATCATTATTTATAAGCTCATGTCACAGAAAAACCATAAAGATGCCTTAATTATCAAATAAATGTCTGGAAAATTCATCATTAATATTTATTTTAATAACATCTATTTTGCATGTGATTCTGTATCTCAAACTCTAGATCATTTCTTGACAACAGTTTGTTCAACAAAAAGTCATATATTACCCTGTTGTTTTTTCGGCTCTACAGTTATAGAGCCCAGGTCTGCAGTCAGGCTCTGCGAGGAATAGTTTGCCCTTTTCAGGGCCTCCAGTGAATCACTCTGGGCTGCAGCTTCGCTGTTATCAGGAACGTCAGCCTCTATATCCAGTTTGGCAACCACACTGCCTGGCCTGAAAATACATCAGACTGGAATACTGGACAAGGTCTTAACTTCATCTACAGGACAATAATTCAGCAATTTAAAGCGTTGATTTTTCAACCAAAAAGACAGAGTTATTGATACAGCTTTCAGTGACAACCTCAATCTGTTTTTTCCTTCACAATTTAATAAGTCGCATTCAAATTCAAAACATGACTTGCCAATAGGTCTAACTCTCCTCTAGTAAAGATGCAAGAACTTACGCAAATTCTGCAACCCTCACACTCCTGTAACCTGGCAGTGCTTCTTTCAAAGCAGGCTCAACCTGGAACAAAACAGATGCTGTTTATAAAAAATAATAACATCTAAATTGTGCCTTAAATCATACTTACAGGGAAAATAGAAGTAGTAGTAGTAGTAGTAGTAGTAATCTTCACAAGTCTATTAATTCCACTGACTTTGTAAAATAACTAAGATCCATACGGCATAACCAATGCCAATATCCTGGCTTTACATTGCATGTTGTTATATCTTATCACATCACCAGCTTGGTCATAGATCTTAGAGTAAAAAAAAGTGGATGCTGACTTTTGTGTAAGAACGACTTAAATGCAAAGAATGAAAATGAAAGTTTTTATTCATTGACTATAGCAAACTCACGGCTGCCTTCACTTTGCTCTCAAGTTCTATAAACTCTTCTGTGTTCCTGTTCCTCAGGTTTTCACTGAATGTGACACTGGTAAATCTGACAGATGCAGACATGGTAACTGTCACTAAAATAGTAAAAAAATGTCAAGTCAATTGCATTCAGTTATTTATTAGTATTAATCAAAGCACTTGATGCCCTTTGTAAATAAAGCTGGAAGTTCATTATGTCATATTTCAATAATATTTTGAAACAGTTCCAACAGTTTTGGTTATCTTAAGTTGGAGCCTTTTTACAATAGCAACTCAACTTTGCACAAATTTCAGAAACAATTTTCCACCCAACATTTCATAAATACAATGAAGTGGTCAGTAAAGAAAGCAGTCAACTTTAAAGTTGGAAAGTAATATATATAAAAGAGTTTAAATTGTACGTATTGAAAAAAACAAAAAAAAAACAAACACATACCTGAAGAGCATGTCTTTATGCATATTTTTTCAGACGAAATAACAGGAGTTTTGGCATGCTTGTTTATAGATGTGCCAGACACGCTTCCACCAACAGCATACATAAAGTAGTAGCAATCAGTGTCAGAAAACTGGAAGTCATTCTGGTTATCTCCGGTGTTTCTCGCTCTGGTAAACTTGATAGTTGTGACTCCAAACAGTTGGGAGCCCTCTATATTTTTTATATCTGACCTTGAGTCCACTAATGGTGGAGAGTAACCCACTGCTTTCCTGTAGAGTTTATAGAAAACTATAAATGAATGTTGCTATTTTAACTGCTTCACAAGGTCAAAATTGATGAAAATAATATAAAGGACTTTTTTTGTCTACTGTATATTACATCTGTTGTAAATGATTTTTCAACAGCAGTACAGACAAGAGCACGGACATATAAGAGGAAAGATCATATGGAACTTAAGAGCACTGGATGAATCAGAACATTCAGAACTGAGTTTGTTTATTTTCACTAAAGCAATGTTAAATATTATTTTCCTCTGACTAAATTAAATTGGATTATTTTTGACCAATTGCATTTCCGAAGAAAATTATTATACACCTCAAACTGAATATGCTCATTAGACATCCAATGCAAAACACATATAGAGTTTATAATTAATTACCTGTCCTGTACAACAACTCTTCCATCAGCCTCCACCCAACCGACAATAACATCTGTGTCAGGCTTTAAAAGATACAGATATGAAAATAAGTAACATCAAAAATGCATACTTTCTGTTAAAACTTTTAGGAGTTGGCTCTAAATTATTAGAATCAGTTTCTACATTTTGAAATTAAAATGAAACCCTCCAATCAATTCACAAACACAAAACAAAAATGTTAAGTCCGTCAAAAAATATTTCTGCAAAGAGCTAGCAGCTACATGTTCTCATGTCTTCCACTTTGTCAATAACTACATCTCACATATCATCTCAGAAACATACTAATGTACAACACAATATCTTTCTTTGAGTCTCAGATTTTCTTTTAAAACATAATCTTCAACACTAATTTTGAAGCAATAACATTGGCAAATAATGTGATTTTTGAAAATCATTCTTCCAAATTGATTATATACCATAATTTCAGTTTGTCCAATATATCTAACCTATATGTAACCACACAAGTAATCTTACTGTTATTTATTATCATAATGACCTTTTTCTCAATTCGTTATTTTCCACTACCTGAAAACTTACTAAATTAGTTACAAAATAAAAATCATATGACCTACCATATTCCTATCCGGTGAGAATCCAATACCAATCCATTTGTTCTCAGTGTTTTTGGCTTTCAGAGTAAATGTCACCTCATCCACGGCTGCGTCATATTCCCAGGTGGCTTTGTATTCACAGTCATCATCAGTACAGCTAGTTGGTTGCTTGTATTCATTGCCACAGGGTTTGGTGATTGGTTGTTCTGTAAAAATACAGAATTGTCCATAGTTAAGTGCAAAAAACATGTAGCCCATTGCACACATAGTTAACAGCAGAATAACATATGAAAAGAAACTTAATTGATCATAAAAATTGCATAGAATACCCAGATATTGTTCAAGTTCAAGCTAAACGTTCATTAGAATACTTATGAAAATTATTTTTTTATAAGATTTATGACTTTGACTAAGGCCAATATGCTGTTTTGCAAATTGATATTGACCTGAAGCCAAAGTCAATAAATATGTAATTATATAATATCAATACCCAAAATATCAATGTTCTCCACGATGACGCCAACATTGCAATATTGCTGTCATCCAACATTGTTGCCATCTGGATGACAATGTGTTTTTTTCAAGACTTGGGGGGGGGGGGGGGTTTGAGTCACCTTGTACATAATATCTCAGAGACTAATAACATGCTGTATACTCACCCACAAAGTTGAGTCTAGCCTGTCCTCTTTGGGCACCATGACCATGATATTTGATCTCATCTGGACGATAAAAGTTGGACACAGCTGGGTTCCCTTTTTCAAGGCCAGACTCAGGGTTGTGGTGATATTGACCAATCTGCTGACCACGAGCCCAGATGACATGCATCAATTCATTTCTAATGTCATGATCCTGTTGTTCAGTAGCTACAGCAAAAAAAATAAATAAATAAATAAAATCCACATATTTATAAGTGAGCAGACTCCGGAAATCTCCACTCTCACAGTCTGAAAATTGCAATCTTATATGAATTTTATGTTATTTATAAATTCCATGCAAATGCATTTTCCTTTCTCTATTAAAATTATACATTTCAGCACAACTTAAAAAAAATTAATGCACAATTATTTATAATTTATTCAGAATCTTTTTCACAAAAGCATATATATATATATATATTGGCCATGTCAAGAACATCAGTGCCTATCAAAAATATATACTGTCTTTAACACACTAAACTTTATTTTAGCTATTCACCTTCCAACTTCTTTCTGAATAACACTGTGGTCACTCCATTTTGCTCATATGCCAGTGCTGCTGTTAGACTGTTGAAGCCATTATCATAAAAAGAATCAGGTCTTGGCGATGAACGATCACGAGTGTAGTAGTCTCCCACATTGCCTCTCATACCACGAGCTCGTCCAATGACAATGTCTGTGCAGTCCATTGCATGCAAGCCAGCTGATATGTGAAGAATGAATCAATGTCATGTGTTAAAAATGTGCCATGTCATTTTGCTCAGTGAGTCATTATAATTTATAATTGTTGGGTTTATCTAGCATCATTTTTTCATGTAAATCTTAAAGTCTCAGATGCCATACAGTTAATGGAAATAATCAATTTACAACTAACATTTTGTTATAAATATACACAAAGCAAGATAACACCTTTTAATAAGACCTTTAAAAAAATTCTTTATCATTTAAGTGACAAAGCAAAGGGTTTTCAACCCAAGTACATAAAACACTTCTTGTTGAATTTATCTGAGGACAAGTTATATTTTTGATCATAATGAAAAAATAAATGAATAAATACCATGAATTAATGTTGCAAAAAATATCAAATTGACCACCTCTTGACTAACCCGAGTTTCTGTCAAACAGGTTAACACAGTTATATATATTGCGTCCCAATCCAGAAGTCAATGCAAGAATAGAGCCCAAGTTGATGGAGGAATTTGAAAAACCATCACTTAAGTGTTGGTTAAGAACTTTTCCAAAATTGTTACACAGTTATGGCGAGTATCAGGAGACAGGGACCAAAGGTGCATGTTTAAACGAAAAAATATGCTTGAACATGCAACCATGTAACCATGCATTGTTAGAACTTAAAATTACATTTTAAAATTACATTTTAAATTGTAGAGGAACTTTATCCTAATGTGTCATCTTATGAATCTTTCAGGATTCATTTCTGTTAGACTTTAAATAACACATACCTGATCCTTCCGGTTGTGCCCCTGGTTCTGAAGTGGTCCCTGGTTCTGAAGTA